GGGTGGTGGAGTGGGGGGATGGAGTGGGGGGATGGAGTGGGGGGATGGAGTGGGGGGGTGGTGGAATGGGGGGGGGGTGGAGTGGGGGGTGGTGGAGTGGGGGGGGGGGTGGAGTGGGGGGGGGGGTGGAGTGGGGGGGGGGGTGGAATGGGGGGGGGGGTGGAGTGGGGGGGGTGGAATGGGGGGGGTGAGCTCCCCACCCCCGATGCTGTCGGGTTGCCAACTTGGAGGTTCAAGAAAATGGGGACGTATCATGGGGAAGAGGATCTCGGAGAAAAAAGAAACATCGGAGGAGGAGGAACTGGGTGTGAATGAAGAGTGCATTGCACATAAGCCTACACACAAAGACAAAGATTCCCCGTATAGCCTTAAGTAACTGTTGGGGAAAGTGCTGTTAGCGAGCACCTATAAAAGCCGGCACGGCACACGAAGGGGGTGAGTGGCCAACACCCCACACGGCCGCCTTTGTCTCCCCAGCGGCGATGTTTACACACCGCACAGGTACTCATTTAAGGCTGAGTCGGCTTAGCGGGGGCCCATGACTGGATCAGGTATCCGTCGCTGGTGTTCGCGGTGAGCGGGAATCGAACTCGGGCTGCGCCATAACCACAGCGCAGTCGCTCCCCAACAACAACGCGGCGCCTGTGCCAGGCTAGGTGCACTCTGAGGCCACGTGAAGTGTCGAAGGCCCTCTGGCAGGACGTCACGAAACAGACTCGGGTGCCATGGGTCGACTGACTGAGATGACTGGCAGATGCATCTCCTCCTGTGCCAACTTGCTGTATTTTAGACGCCCGGCGCTCCGCTCGTTGTTGTGAGCGTCGCTCCTCTGCCACCCTCCGTTGTTGCTGGAGGGCGACTGCCTCCAACTGCCGCGTCCATCACGAGCCTCCTCCACGGAGGACGATCTTGACACCGCCCGTACCGGACACACAGACACACGCTCACGCACAAAGGCACTTGCACGCACACACTCCCTCGTGTAAAGCGCACGTGCTCACACATACACTCGCGCATACCCATACTCCGTTACGCACACACGCCCACACGCGCGCACATAAACTTAATCACACACACGAGCGCAAACAACCACATTGCAGGCTTACAAACAAACACAACACACGACCCCCCCTCCCCCCCGTGTAACCTGTGCTGTTAGCGAGTAACACTCATGAAGGCCGACACGGGTACACGAGGGGGTGTGTGGCAGGAACCACACCCGACCGCCTTTGTCTCCCCGGCAGCTATGTGTACACACCACGAACAGGTAACTAATTTTAGGCCGACCGCTAACAGGTAACTAATTTTAGGCCGAGTCCACCTATATGAGACACACACCCATACAAATAGAATAACCACGCACACATCCGCAGGCACATTATACCCAGACAAAAGCAAAGATCCCCCGTTAAGACAGGGCAGGCTTCTTGGGGCAAGTGCTGTTAGCCACGGCACACGAGGTAAGTGGGTGGCCAGAACCACGCGCCGGCCGCCTTTGTCTCCCCAGTGGCGATCTTTACACGCCGCTAACAGGTACTCATTTGAGGCCAAGTCTACCTAGAGGAGGCTTAGGACCGGTTCAAATAACCGTCACCGGTGTTGGTGGCCGTGAGAGGGAATCGAACCCTGGTCCCTGGCGGGTTCGCAGCGCACGCACTCGCACACTAATCACAAACACATGCAAGTCATCACCTGTGCACACACACACACAATGACACACACCCTCGCACACGAACTCCCTCCTCACATCTCCCCGGCAACTCTCCCTTTGACTCTCACCTGGAGCGAGCGCATTGCAACACTGGGCGAGCGAATCTCACCTCACGGTGGGGAAGGGGTAGGGTGGGGGCTCGTTGTCATTGGAGATCATCAGCGAGTGAAGCCATCATTATTATTAATTGGTCACGTGACACTAATTACCGGCTTCTTATCGAGTCACTCCGCGCGATTAGTGGGTTGAGTGTGGTTACATGAGGAGAGAGTACTGCCTCCTGTCATAGGAATGTGGAATTTCCACCACTGGCTCTTGGCTATAAACAGCAAATGAGGAACAATGCTTCGATGCTAATTTCGGCAACTACTCACTTTTGCCTTGTTTGTGGTTCATTAGACGAGTAGTTGAATAGATGAGTTGGTGAATTGTTGATTATTTGAGTGGGTGAATAGACGAGTGGGTGAGTGGTTGAATAGACGAGTAGTTGCATAGATGAGTTGGTGAATTGTTGATTATTTGAGTGGGTGAATAGACGAGTGGCTGAGTGGTTGGATAGATGAGTGGTTGGTTAGATGAGTGGTTGGACAGATGAGCGAGTGAGTGAAAGGATGGGTGGTTGGGATTCGTCTTTCGTTCTGGGGCCTAACCGGTGTAAGATAACCGGTTCGGCCGGTCCGTGTGTCACCGCGAGTTGCCGTTGGCCCAATCACCCCGAAATGTGACCGATGTTGTTGGAAGCTCTGTCGGAGGCTGCGCCTGCATCGTCGGCCTTCAACGTGGGCGACTTGGTCACGGCCAGGCACTCCCGCCTACTTGGGCGGGGACGAGCACGCGGTGGATGCGAGCAGAACACTCGTCCAGCAGTGGATTGTGCGTGTGCGTGGCTTGTGCGTGTGCGTGGAGTGTGCGTGGCTCGTGCGTGTGCGTGGCTCGTGCGTGTGCGTGGCTCGTGCGTGTGCGTGGCTCGTGCGTGTGCGTGGCTCGTGCGTGTGCGTGGCTCGTGCGTGTGCGTGGCTCGTGCGTGTGCGTGGCTCGTGCGTGTGCGTGGCTCGTGCGTGTGCGTGGCTCGTGCGTGTGCGTGGCTCGTGCGTGTGCGTGGCTCGTGCGTGTGCGTGGCTCGTGCGTGTGCGTGGCTCGTGCGTGTGCGTGGCTCGTGCGTGTGCGTGGCTCGTGCGTGTGCGTGGCTCGTGCGTGTGCGTGGCTCGTGCGTGTGCGTGGCTCGTGCGTGTGCGTGGCTCGTGCGTGTGCGTGGCTCGTGCGTGTGCGTGGCTCGTGCGTGTGCGTGGCTCGTGCGTGTGCGTGGCTCGTGCGTGTGCGTGGCTCGTGCGTGTGCGTGGCTCGTGCGTGTGCGTGGCTCGTGCGTGTGTGTGGATTCTGGTTGTGATTTTTGCAGACGTCGTCGTGTGAACGATTGTAAATTCGTATCGCTGCTCTTTGCCGATGCTGATTAAGTCGCCTCGATTAGAGCGAAGCTCAAAGAGGGCTCCTCTCTAGACGATGTCTTGGCCTACTCTTCAACGCTGGCCGGACGTCTCGGATTAGGTGGGAGTTACCCACACTTTACCCTACCACACGCCCTCACCGGGTTTACCAATTTATCCTGCAGCTGGGGCAGGCGGGGGGGGGGTATACGAAACTCGACCATTGATACGACTACCGCGCCCGGAGATAGAATCGAACGGGCGACCTCTGCATTGCAAGTCCGGTGCGCTGACCATTGCACAACGGTGCTAGTGATGGTGGAGATGATGATGATGGTGGTGGAGATGATGATGATGGTGGTGGTGGAGATGATGATGATGGTGGTGGTGGAGATGATGATGATGGTGGTGGTGGAGATGATGATGGTGGTGGTGGAGATGATGATGGTGGTGGTGGTGATGGCCATGGTAGTGGTGGTGGAGATGATGGTGGTGATGGAGATGGTAATGGTGGTGGAGATGATGGTGGTGGTGGAGATGGTGATGGTGGTCATGGTGATGATGATGGTGGTTGTGAGGATGGTGATGATGGTGGAGATGATGATAGTCATGGTGGTGATGGACAGTGCGGGCAGTGCAGTGGGAGTCGCGCTGCGGCCTCACGCGGTGTCCAGGTGTTGATCCCCCTGCGTAACGGCTCGCGGGAGCGCAGGTGTTCGTCCCTTCCTGCACCCCCCGCTCACCCCCCCCCCCCCTCTACGCAGCCTTAAACCTGAGCTAATATTTGCGCGGGGCGTGTGTGTGGGGGGGGGGGGGGGGTTACCCGTGCTACCTGTGCTGCCTGCGATAGCCGCTACACCTGTCGGGCCCACACCTGGCGGGGAGGGGGTTCTTTGTGTTTTTTTTACGACTGCGTTACGATTCGTGAGCACGAGCCGATACAGGTAACCCTCCCTCCCCCTCCCTCCCCCTCTCCCTCCCATCTGTAAACTCTGGGGGGGCGGGGTGAGGGGTTGGCGGGGGGGACTCGCCACCCCCTCGCCCCCTCCCCCGCGTACCCCTCGTCAATCAACACTGACCTCACGGCTCAAGTGCTTCCGAGTTCCAACGCACGCGTCTCCTCATCTGTACTCCTACACTCCTCACCTGCACGCCTGTAGTCCTCACCTCCACTCTCCTGTATCTTCCCTCTCATCTCACTCTACTCCCCTCCACGCACTCTCCTACCTCTCTCATCTCACTCCACTCCCCTCCACGCACTCTCCTACCTCTCCCCTCTCATCTCACTCTACTCCCCTCCACGCACTCTCCTACCTCTCCCCTCTCATCTCACTCTACCCCCTCCACGCATTCTCCTACCTCTCCCTCTCATCTCACTCTACCCCTTCCACGCACTCTCCTACCGCTCATCTCGTACACGCACCCCGACACTCACCCACTGATTCGCAATCGCACGCGCAAAGTCACTCACGCACACAGACAAATACACCCCTTGTAGCCTCTGCAGATTGTTGGGACAAGTTCTAATTAGCGAGCACCTATTAGGGCCAGCACGACGCCCGGCCATCTTTGTCTTCCCAAGTGCCGATGTTTATACATCACACAAGGTGCTCATTTAAGGCTGAGTCGACCTAGGGGAGGCCCAGGACCGGTTCAGATATTCGTCGGTTTATGTTATCCGTGCGCCGGGAATCGACGTCGCACGCACACACAAAGACACAGATCCCCCGTGTAGCCTTCGCAGACTGTTGGGACAAGTGCTGTTTGCTAGCACCTACACAAACACGAGCTCACAATCAGCCACACACTCGCACGTCCCCTCACCGCCCCCACCCATCTCCGAGCTGTGAGACGCGAGGCCGCTGTACACGCTACGGGTTTAATGAGCAGGTGGGGGGGGGGGAGTTGTTACACAGCTCAAAAGACAACCACAAATCTCTTCTTCTCGCGAAGTGGGATTGTTTACAAAACAACAACAAAACAACGAAAACTCCGCACAGATTGATCCACGCAGTGGAACTGTAAACGTGACGACCCGGGGGGAGGAGAAGTGGGTGAGGGCGATTGGGGATGAGGGGGGGGGGCGAAGATTTGACCCCAGAGTTGACCCCTCCAGGAACCTCACTTTAGGGGGACGCCTGGGGTCAATCTCTACCCCCTAAGGTGGACCGATCCCAAGAGTAACCCCCCTCTCCCGGCCACAACAGGGGAATTTTCGAGCCAGTGGGAGGGGGGGTACTCCCCGGACCCAACCTTGACCTCAGCTGTGACCTTGAACCTGACCTTTCCGATGACCTTGACCCTGACACTTGTATTGACCAAAGGACTGTGCGTGTGTACACTTGTACGCGTGTACTGTCGTGTTACAGTATCCGTGTACTGCAGTGATACAGTATCCGTGTACTGCAGTGATACAGTCCATGTGTACTGCCAGTTGGCTTGGCAGCTCTCATCAGACCTCCCCCACCCCCTCCACATAAAATAAATTGTAATAAATTAACACGCTTCTCAGGGGTGTTTTGGCCTACTCTTCCACAATGGCCGGACGTCTTGGAAGAAGAGGTGGGAGATACCCACACTCTACCCCACCATCACCACACGCGACCTGTCCCATCGACTGCGCTGTAACCGATTTCTACTGCTGGAGGGGTGTTGTAGATATTTGCCGCGTTGTTCTCACTGCCGCGCCTGGAGATCAAACGGGCGACCTCTGGATCACAGCACGGCAGCTGCCCATCTCACTCCCAAGTCCCTGTAAACTAAGTGCTTCTCCTGAGCGGTTTCAAACCCTCCACTGCTTCCCCATCAACCACCCCTCCCTCATCTCCCCCCCCCCCCCCACCTCAATATCTACACCTCTCTTTAATTGCTACCTCGCCCCCCCCCCCCCCAATCATCTCTCCCTATTTAGTGCAAACACAAGACTTTGTTCTCAAAACTTGTTTGACCTCGTCTCTCGCTCCCCTCGCTTATTTACAATCGACTGCCGTGCCCCCTCTCCCATCGCCCAATGTCACTTTCTGACCTCGCCAACTCTCACGCGAACCCTCAGTCAGTCTCTGTCAGTCTATGGGTTTCTATGCCAGTTTATGGGTCTCTGTAACAGTCTATGGGTCTCTGTATCAGTCTATGGGTCTTACACAAACTCCAAAAAAGTCTAAGTCGGTGGGTCTCTGTACTGAACCCTCAGTCTCTTAATCTGTTAGTCTGTGAGACTGTCTATGGGTCTCTGTGTGAGTATGGGTCTCCAAGCAAGTTTTTGGGTCTCTATGTGCGTCAGTGAATCTATATACAAGTCTATAGGTCTCTTAGCACGGTTGGCTACGTACGGTGCTAAAGAAGTTCAACATACACACGAGACCCGCGCTAAGCGATTGGCAGTGGTATATGAGTGTCTATATGAGAGTGTACGCCATCCTTAATAGGTGTTCGCTAACAGCAGTCTATGAAGGCTATACGGGGCATCTTTGTATGCGTCTATGTTTGGATATGTCTTTGTCTGTGTCTGTGTGTATAGTGGGGAGCGGTTGTGTAGCGGTTAGCGCGCTGCGCTATGAACCCGGCGACCCGGGTTCAATTCCCGCTCACTGCCAACACTGGTGACGATTATCTGAACCTGTTCTGCACCTCCCCAAGGTTGACTCGGCCTCAAACGAGTACCTGTCACGGTGTATATTAAGCCCCACAGCACTGGGGAGTCAAAGGCGGCCGGGCGTGGTGCTGACCACCCAAACCCATCGTGTGCCGTGCCGGCCGTGATAGGTGCTCGCTAAGAGCACTTGCCCCAACAGTCTGCGAGGGCTATAAGGGATATCTTTGTGTGTGTGTGTGTGTCGAGGTGACGATCGCCCGTTCAGGGGCCACTAACAAGACGTCGTGTTTGTGTGCAGTCACATGACCACACACATTATATACAGTACTGCACAAGCAACATAACTTAATCGCACATCACAGCTGTTTCAAATAATTAAGTAAATAGACTACAATTACAACTATTTTTTTAGTAGTGTTATAAAAAAAATCTCGAGCGTTTAAAGTTTTAATCAAGATCCGAGTTCGAGCCGATCATAGGTTGGCCCCAATTATTTTCGCTTGGCGCCACCGTGCGTGCCGATGTGCGTATCTCTGTGAGATGAGGAGGAGCGGTGGTGTAGTGGTTCGCGCACAGCGCTCCCAACCCGGCGACCCGAGTTCGTTTCCCGCGCGCCACCAATAACGGTGGCGAATATTCAAACCGGTACTGGTCCTCCTCTAGGTCGACTCAGCCTGAAACGAATACCGGTTGCGGTGTGTAAACATCAGCGTTGGGGAGACAAAAAAGGCGGCCGGGCGTGGTGCAGGCCACCCGTCCCCCCCTCGCGTGCCGTCACGGCGCACGCCTACAGCACTTGCCCCGCCAGTCTGTGTCGGCTACACGGGGGACCTTTGTCTGGCTTGTAGTGTGGTGCACCGGGGGGGGGGGGGGTCACGTGTGCGTGACCTCTTCGGCAGTGAGCACGTGGCAGTGTTGGCAGTAATGTGTTCCCCCCCCCCCGCATTCCCTACGAACCCCGTTTTACTGAGACCCCCTTCCGGCGGGGGCCTCCTTTGTTTGGGGGGGCGGGGAAGGGGGGTGGAATCAGGGCCCCGCGCGGGGGACCCACGTAAACCTCCACCCCCCACTCTCGTCGCGCGCGGTGAAGGTTTGTCCGTGCGAGAAGGACCGGGTCTTCACGGTCGAGTGATGTCTCACGGCCGTGTAGAACGCGGGGGGGTCGGCCGAGGCGGGGGGGGAGCAGGGAGGCGGCGGGGGGGAGGAGGGTGGGGAGAGGAGGGGCGGCTTGCCGCCGGTGCCGTACCCCGCCGAGACCCCTTCGCCGCCCGCGTCGATCGTGTCGGGGTCCTTGAGCCCCAGGATCTGTAGGACTCGGGGCCACGCGAGCCCTGGGGTCGCGGGGGTCGCGGGGGTGGGTGCGGTGGGAAGGGGCTGCTGCTGCTGCTGCTGCTGCTGCCCCCCTCCCACAAAGGGGGTCTTGAGCCCCCGTCTCGCGCTGTCGGGGCTCCAGGCGGCGCAGCGCTTCCCCAGGGCTGCGGCTCCACGCTCAGAGAGCAGCCGCTGTGGGGGGTCGAGAGAAGGTGGGGGGGGGGGGTGAGAGGGGGAGTTAAGGGGGGGTCGAGAGAGAGGGGGTAGAGGGGGAGGGGTTGAGAGGGGGGGATTGAGAGAGGGGGGGGGAGAGGGGGGATTGAGAGGGGGAGGGTTTGAGAGGGGGGGTTTGAGAGGGGGGGGGAGGGATGAGAGGGGGGATTGAGAGGGGGGGGGAGGGATTGAGAGGGGGGGGGGAGGGATTGAGAGGGGGGGGGGGAGGGATTGAGAGGGGGGGATTGAGAGGGGGAGGGATTGAGAGGGGGGGGGGGAGGGATTGAGAGGGGGGGATTGAGAGGGGGGGGGAGGGATTGAGAGGGGGGGGGAGGGATTGAGAGGGGGGGGGAGGGATTGAGAGTGGGTACGGCAGGCGAGAGAGGGGAGAGTGAGGGAGATTTGATGATATAGTGGGAGGTGAGCGGGTGGATGGGTGGTAGGTGAGAGATGGGGATGAGGGGAGAGCGCGAGAAATGGGGAGCGGGGATTGCAGGGGGGATGGGGGGAGAGGTGATGTCAGAGGGAGGGTGGGGGGTGAGGTGTGATGAGAGAGGTAGCAGGTGGGAGGGAGGGACAGGTGGGAGGGGAGGGAGGGGGAGGTAGGAGGGAGTGGGGCGAGAGATGGAGCAGGGAGAGATGGAGGGACATGGAGGGGAGAGAGGGGGGGGGGGCAGTTGGGAGGGGCAATGAAGGAGGGAGAAGCGATGTGAACGTAAAGTGTCTTGAGAGAGGCGGGAGGGGGGGAGGGAGATGTGGGATCAGCGTCTCCCTCTCCACTCCATCCCCGTTGGGTGTTCAGAGGCGTGGCCCACGACTGGGGGAGCCGTTGAGGGGGAGTCGGGCAAACGGGGGGAGCAGGGGATGCAGAGGGGGAAGCAAGTGTAGGGGGAACGGGGGTAGGGATGTGATCGAGGGGGTCGGAGGTTGGGGGGGGGGGGTCATGGGAGATAATAAGGGCTGAGGGAGGAATCGAGGGGAGATCAGGGGGTGGGGGGGGGGATCAGGTGGGGGAGAATCGGAGGGGGGATCGGGGGGAGATCATGAGGCGGGGAGGAGATCGGGGGGAGGGATTGGGAAGGGGAGGGTCGGGGGAGGGGCGGGGGGAGCCTGGGGGGGGGTGGAGCCTGGTGGGGAGCGGGGGGGGGAGCCTGGGGGGGGAGCGGGGGGGGAGCCCCCACCGAGAGTTGCTGCTCGAGGCTGCGGGCGTGTGCGGCGCTGGCGCGGAGTCGCGCGTTCTCGTGACGCAGCCCCGCGAGCTCCTCCTCGGTGCGGGCGAGACGCGCCCTCAGCTACAACAACAACAACAAGACTAGTAAACAAGGACCACAACAAGAACACACGAAACAACAACACTACGAGCAAGAGTAAACAACCACAAACAACCACAGCCGTAAACAGCTCCCGCTAGCACAAACAACAGCAACAACAAGCAGCAGCAGCAGCGTAAACAAGCCGCGATGACCTTGATTTGAAGCTTTCGTGACTGCAAGAATCCATACTCTTTGGTTATTTCGGTAAAGTCACGTGGGTAGAAAATAAAATAAATCACGACGTTTCGGGCGCAACACAAGCGTCCGTTATCAGGTGGGAAAGCGTGGCCTGCTGCTGATGCAGACTGTTTGAAAAGGTTTGAAATGTGTGTATAACAGTCTGCATCAGCAGCAGACCACGCTTCCCCACCTGATGATGGACGCTTGTGTTGCGCCCGAAACGTCGTGATATATTTTACTTTCTACCGACGTGACTTCACCGAAAAAACCAAAGAGTACGAGCCGTGAAAACCAACAACAGGGAGCGCGGTAAACATCAACACAGCCCCCGCGTGCTCCTCACGAATGCCACGGCGTGAATTTCGTGTCGAGTTCCGCTCGTGGATACCACGGCGTGTTCACGAGTTCCTTCAGCGCCACGGGCATCATCGACACCATGAGTAGCATCAGTACACTCGGGTACCACGAGTGGCATCGGTACCATCAGCGTTATCAGTACCATCAATAGCATCAGTACCATCAGCGTTATCAGTACCACGAGTGGCATCGGTACCATCAGCGTCATCAGTACCATCAATAGCATCAGTACCATCAGCGTTATCAGTACCATGAGTGGCATCGGTACCATCAGCGTTATCAGTACCATGAATAGCATCGGTACCATCAGTATCACGGGTATCCTCAGGATAATCGGTACTATGAGTAGCATCACTACCATCGCAAACACGGATGGCATCGGTGTTTTCAATACCACGAGTACAAATCGGTATCGTCTTGATGAGTATCTTATGTTCCTTGAGGACCTTCGGCGCCATCGGCACCATGGATACCACGAGTACGATGGGTACCCCAAGGACCCGGATGGGTACCACGATTAATAACCACGTGACGCGAGCCCCCCCCCCCCCCACTACTCACCTGGCTGTTGCGGTTCAGCTCCTCTCCCAGGTGCGCGCGTGTGACCCCACTCCATCCTGTGGGCCAGGGGGGGGGGTGAGATAGGGGAGGGGGGTGAGTTACATCACCACATGGAGCGCTTAGAGTCGGGGGGAGGGGGCGGGGGGAGGCATGGGAGACGAGTTAACAGTGAAGGAAAGTTGGGAGGGCGGGAGGAACAACGCGGAGCAGAGCGGAGCAGAGCGATGGAGGGAAGTCGGGGGGAGCAGGAGGAACTGGAGGGGGGACAAAGAGGAGGAGCATGAGAGGGAGGGGGGGGGGGGGAGAGGGGATATAGCGAGAGATGGGGGAGCATGGTGGAAGCAGGGGTCGGAGCAGGTAGAAGGGGGAGCATGGTGGAAGCAGGGGTCGGAGCAGGTAGAAGGGGGAGCATGCAGGGTAGCAGGGGTGAGGGGGGGCCAGGGGGTGGGTGAGGGGGGGGAACAGGGGTGAGCAGGAGGTGAGGGGGCAGCGGGGGGGATCAGGGGTGAGGGGAAGCAGGGTGAGGTTTGGGGGGGTTCAAGATGGGAGCCGCCGGGACCCGAGCTCCGCGTCTCTCCCGGTTCCACTCCGCGCGCCCTTTTATAGCTCACCTGACTACAGCGCCGCGCATGCGCACTGCACCATTCCTGCCCCCCCCCCCCCACAGCTCTCACCCCCCCCCCACGCGCCCCCCTCTACCCCCCGTGAATGCCGGCTCCAGGTGCACGGGCGGAGACCGGGTTGAGGCGGGAGGAATAATGGGGGGAGGGTGGGGGGGAGGGATCATGGGGGGGGGGAGGGTGGGGGAGGAATAATGGGGGGGGTGGGGGAGGGATCATGGGGGGGGAGGGTGGGGGAGGAATAATGGGGGGGGGGGTGGGGGAGGGATCATGGGGGGGGAGGGTGGGGGAGGAATAATGGGGGGGGGGTGGGGGAGGAATAATGGGGGGGGGGGGGTGGGGGAGGGATCATGGGGGGGGGGAGGAGGGGGAGGGATCATGGGGGGGGAGGGGGGGGGAGGAATAATGGGGGGGAGGGATGAAGGGGGGGAGGGTGGGGGAGGGGTGGAGCGAGATGCAGAGGAGCACGGGGGGGGGGGTGTAATGGGGGGGGGGGGTAGTGAGACGCGAGAGGTCACGGGGAGGCACCGTTATCGGGGTCAGGGAAGCCACGGCGCTCGGGTCAAGTTGGGGTCAAGCCTCCTCTGCTCCAGACCAGGTGTGTGTGGGGGGGGGGATGAGGAGGGTTGTTGACAAAATTTGGGGGTGGGGGGGGGAGGAGGTGCGAGGGGGGGGGGTCACGAGACATTTGGGGGGTTGTGGACGGGACGGCGGGGGGGGGGTGTAATTGACTCGCTCCCAGGTGTCAGCGCGTGCACTAATTGGCAGAGGTAAGGGGGAGGGGTGAGTGTGTGTGGTGGTTGCGGGGGGGCGTGTCGGTGAGGCCATATGCCCGGGTAGGACCCCTCTACCGGGGCTTTATCCCCTCCCTGTCCCCCCCACCCCCTTCCCGCAACTCACGCGCTTTGTTCAGAGCAGAGGGGGTCCCTGGGGGAGTGGGGGGGCGGATTGGGAGGGGGGGCACCTGAGCGTGCGCACCTGGGCTGGGACCCGAACGCGGCAGTGGCTCCCTTCGTGGCGGGAACGCGATGGGTGTGGTGATAAATTACGATGATGATGGTGGTGGTGGTTGTGATGGGGGTGATGGTGGTGATAATAATTGGTACATTGTGTACTTGTGCCAGGTTATACCCGCCAGGGATAGTTATCACAGGCGGGCATAGTCTGGCAGTAGGGGGCGATGTTGCTACGTGGCATTAAGAATACAACATTTTAAAAATTAATATTTCTTGGTCATTTTCACATTGTAATCATTTGGACCGGCACACAATGGCATATTCTATTATTCCCAAATAAGGCCACGGCATCTTTAACGTTCACCCACGAGTGAAGCAGACGGCGTGGTTAATACCACACCGGCGCAGTATTAACCAGGGTGGCCGCTGGTTGCGAACCGCGAAACCTCTGCATGTATATTCTTGGTTCTTTCGGTAAAGTCACGTAGAAGAGAAATAAAGTTACGTAAGAGAAAAATAGTATTTCCCTTCAACATGACTTTACCGACAGAACCAATAATATGAATCCATGCATTCACGAAAGCTTTAAATCGAAAACTCTGCGTGTATGTTGAACTTCTTTCGCACCGTACGTAGCCAACCGTGCTAACCATCGTAATCATCAGTATCAATGATGATTACGATTTTGTGATGTTTATTTCGACTACAATTATGATGGTGATGCTGCTGATAATATTGGTTATCATGTTGATGGTGTTGATGGTGTTGATGTTGTTGATGGTGGGGTTGATGGTGTTGACGGTGTTGGTGGTGGTGTTGATGGTGGTGTTGATGGTGATGTTGACGACGGTGTTGATGGTGGTGTTGATGGTGGTGTTGATGGTGTTGATGATGGTGTTGATGGTGTTGATGGTGGTGTTGATGGTGTTGATGGTGGCGTTGATGGTGGTGTTGATGGTGGTGTTGATGGTGTTGACGGTGTTGTTGATGGTGTTGATGGTGGTGTTGATGGTGGTGTTGATGGTGTTGACGATGTTGACGGTGTTGTTGATGGTGTTGATGGTGGTGCTGATGGTGGTGTTGATGGTGGTGTTGATGATGTTGACGATGTTGATGGTGTTGTTGATGGTGGTGTTGATGGTGGTGCTGATGGTGGTATTGATGGTGTTGATGGTGGTGTTGATGGTGGTGTTGATGGTGTTGATGGTGGTGTTGATGGTGGTGTTGATGGTGGTGTTGATGGTGGTGTTGATGGTGTTGATGGTGGTGTTGATGGTAGTGTTGATGTTGTTGATGGTGTTGTTGATGGTGTTGGTGGTGTTGATGGTGGTGTTGATGGTGGTGTTGATGGTGGTGTTGATGGTAGTGTTGATGGTGTTGATGGTGGTGTTGATGGTGTTGATGATGGTGATGGTGTTGATGGTGGTGTTGATGGTGTTGATGGTGCTGGTGTCGATGGTGATGTTCACCTGTCTTGCACTCCGTGTCGTTGGGGCCCCAGGAGGGACAGGACACGGGGGCCTGGGGGGGGCTCCAGTCATAGCTGAGCGGTGCGCGGTGCGGGAGGGCGTCCTGCAAGAAACAAAGACACAGTTCCCCCGTATAGCCTCCACACACGTTTGAGGGCAAGTGCTGTCAGCAGGCACCTGATGAAAGCCGGAACGGCACACGAGGGGGTGGGTGGGTGGTCAGCACCACGCCAATGCTGATGTTCCCACACCGCACCCGGTACTCGTGATATGCCGAGCCCAGAATCGGTTCAGAAATGTGTCACTGATATTGGCAACGAGCGTGAATCGAACTCGGGTGGCCGGGGTTTGTAACGTCGTAGTTAGCGCTACGCTGCCGCTTCACACACAACACACACATCTAGCCATGCGGACACACACACACACAATAAACACATACAATCACGACACACATACCCACACAGACGGGAAATCAGTGTGTACACACACACCCTTACACAGATCAACGACACAGATACACACACACTCATTCACACACACACTCATATACCTAAAGTCACTTACACACGTGTACAAAGACAAAGATACTCTGTGGAGTCGTAATAGACTGTTGGGGCAAGTGTGCTGTTAGCGAGCACCTATGAAGACCGGCACGGCACACGAGGGGGTGGGTGGCCAGCACCACGCCCGGCCGCCTTTGTCTCCCTAGATGTTTACGACACATCGAGGCTGAGTCGACCTCACACACACAGACATGCACGCACTCATTCATACACTCAGGCGCTCGCACGCGTGCGTGGGTTAATAGTTGCGTAAAGCATCGCCTCCATGACGTTGAATTGCCTCCTCCACCTCCTCCCCCCGCCAGCCCCGCCCCTCACCCCCCACCGCCCCCGCCCCCCGGTTCTGAGCCGGGCCCCCACGGCTCGGATTCTTGAGAAGCGAGGGCAGCGCGGGGGGGCGGGGGGGGCGGGGGTTGGCGGAGGAGGCTGTTGCCATGGTGATCGGTTTGTTGTGGGAGCTCTGAGTAAGATCGACCAACAGCCCCCGTCACCCCCCCCCCCCCGGTTTCTCCACCCCCCCCCCTCCTCCTCCCCCCCCTCTCAGCCTCGACCCCTCCCCTCGGGGTGCGGAGTGCGCAGCGCCCCCTTGCGCTGCCCCCGATTGGGGCAAGTGTCAGGGAAGAGGGGGGGGCTGCGTCTATTGGGTTTTAGGGGTTGAGGGGGGGTGGTGGGGAGCGAGGTGTCCCTTCCCTGTGTTAGAGAGATGAGACAGGGCCACTGCGTAAATGGGGGGGGGGGGGTCAAACAGCCCCCCCCCACCCAACCCCCCCCCCCCCTCTCACCCCCCCCCCTACCTCCTTACCCCCCACCCACTGCGCCCTGGCTTTGAATTTCGGAACCGAGTCACCGCGACATCATCCAGGAAATCAATCCCCGGCGCTTTGATTGCGCAATGGACAAGGCGGCTGGGTTGCAGAAGGAGCCGTCCGAGGCTGAGCTCCGGAATATGATGCCCCTGCTGCTCCACCCCTCGCTATCGGCGGTGGGAGGGGGGGGGGGCTGGGTACGAGGTTCGGCCAATGTCGAGGAAATATTCCATGAGATTTTAAACTCTACGCATAGATGTTGAGCGGCATTCTGAAATAAAGGGAAGGCGAGGGGGGGGGGGTTCTCCCTCTCTCTCCGCGGGGAGGAAGCTGGGACCCTGGACGGCGGTGGAGGGGACCTGGGGTAGGTCCCATGTCCCTGGCTGGGCCCAGTTTTCCCCACTGGAGCTCAGCTCCTGTGACTCCTGCAGCTGCGGCGCAGAATCCGCGTGGCTGTTAACGCGTCCCACGTGGAGTGCGGCGCGGGGGGGGGGGGGGGGCAGCGGTGATTTGGGAGCCCGGGAAAAGGTGGCGAATGTCCCGTGGGGGACCTGGGAGCGAGCCCCTTCTACACAGGGCCTGTACTGACTTTGCAGAATTGTAACCCGCCCCATAGCCGCAGAGGCAGGCGCCCTATGAAGTCACTCAGGTAGAATACCAACCGTTCAGTTAAGACAGCCAGCCAACCACACGGCTACACATCACACGACTCACATCACACGACTCGGTTAGGCAACCCTGTCAGCCACACAGGTAGACACCCAGACAATCACCGAGCCACTCAAGACACCGAGTTAGAACGCCCTGACAAGCACGAAATTCAACACGCTGCCAATCACTCGTCTACCGTGCGAGCCACTTAAATAGACACCAACCTGCTGGGCGAGACACCCACGTATGCAGGCAGGGCACATCCATTCGGTTCGACAGCCCAACGACTCCGCTAGACCCACACAGAGCAGCACCGAGCGCACACCGCGGGTGTCAAATTGGAGCCCGACTCATTTTCCCCGCCCCCCTCTCGCACCTCCACCGGACGACGCGCGCGATGCCAACCACAGGTATTGGGGGGGGGGGGGGGCACGGCGCCCCCCTCTCTCCTCGAACTGGCACCCGACCCGGCAACGATCCTCCTGCCCCCCGTTCACGGGGCTCGCATGAAACATGTGCAGGGAGCGCGCGCGCCCTGCGGACTTGGAGCGGCGCGCGTCCCTGAAGGCGCCCAGGTGCGGCATTCAAACCACGTCCCGCCACCGCCTCCTCCACGCCGCATCGAGACCCATCGCCGCACTCCGCCCTCACTGACAACCCCCTCCGAGGGGTCAAGACCCCCCACCCCCCCTCGGCCTCCTCGCGCACCCCCTCCCCCTTTACCCCGGCTCCCCCAGATTCCCTCGTCAAGCCGGCACTTACCATGAGCGGTGCCCCGGGCCAGTGCGCGGTCGTTGGCGGTGGCGCGCGTTGTGCAGCGGGGGCTGGAGGCGCGGGGGTCCTTATAACGGGGGCCCCGCTCCGCTGATTCCTCCCCGCGCGATCTGATTCGGCCCTCGGAGCGACACGCGGTGACGCGGCGCCTCCCTCTGCTCCCCTCCGCAACCCGCCGCCGCGCTCTCCTAAACTAAGAGTCTCGTGCGACGACGCGTGGATGGCGAGACCGAGACGCGAGGTCACGAGGCCGTCCCTCTCCCACGGGGGCTCTCTGGGAACCCCTGGACCGGGGACCCACGGGGAACCAGAGCGCGCGGGGAGGGGGGGGGCATAAGGAGAGCGGCCCCCCACTTTTTGCCTTCCTCAAAAAAGAAATCATCACGTGGCAGCTGTTTTCCAGAGAGGGGACACGGTGCGCAAAGACGGACCTCACCGCGGGGACAGGACCCCCACGCTGGAGACCCCGTGCTCGGGTAGGAGTTCACCACGGGGATCCATTCCGAACCCGGGAAGGGGGAGACAACCAGGGGAAGGGGGGGTATAGGGGGACTGACGCCACACGGAAACCTCCGCTCCGGGAGCAGCTTATGGGCATGGAGGAGCGCGGCTCCGGGCGAGGTCGCGGGACACGCGGCGCACGCGTTACGGGGCTCCTGGGCGGCGTTGCGCGGTTGGGCGACGTGGAGGTTCGGTGGTGGATGGTGCTGGTGGGGGCGAGGTGCGTGGGTGACCCTCTCTGACCCCCAGGAGTGGCCCCGCACGCACGCGCGCGCGGCCCGCCACCGCCGCCGCCGCCGCTCACCTGCGCCGCGCGCCCTTGACGTAGCGCGCGGCGCAGACTCTTATTTTGACTTTGGACCGAAATCACAAACACGGGGGCGTCACCGCGGGCGGGGAGCGAAGCGGGGAGGGGAGGGAGAGGCAGGTTGAGGGGGGCGGGGAGGGAGGGCGCCGACCTGCCGCCGCCGTCACCGCGGAGCAATAAAACCCATGCGCACGGCGCGCGCGCGCGTGTCTCGGAGCCCTCTGTTCCCTCCCCTACCCACCCTCTCATCACCCCCTCCTGGACCCCGCCGTCCCACCCCCGCACCCAGAGCTTCCTCTACCTCCTCGGTCTCCGCTCTTATCGGCGCTCCCACGCCGGACCGCGCGACTCGGGGTGACGCGCGCGCGCGCACGCCGCGTCCCGGCGATGCGGGGACCGCGCGGCCTCGCGGAGCCCGAGAGGAGAGGGACACGGGGGGGCCCTGGCGAGCCGGGTGTGAGGGGGGATGAGAGAGGGAAGAGGAGGTCTCAAGGGACCTGCATTGGCAGAGCGACGCTGCGCACGAGGGGGAGCGCGCTGCGCTGCCGCCCGCGTCCCCGTGTCTCGTCGCTGCCGCTGTTGTGGCTTCGTTTCCCGTGGTTTCGCGGGGCGTCTCGCTTCGTTGCGCACTACCTGCCCTGGCTCCGCGAGCCGCGCGTGGCTCGGGCGCGCGCGATGCGGGAAGGTGGCGCGCGCGCGCGGGCGCAGGGGAAGCGAGCGCCGGGTGGCGGGGGGTGGACGCGGGGTGGATGCGGTAATCGCGGTGCGCGGTCACTGCCTCTGTCCACCGCGTCTCCCCGCGCCCATCCAGACCCCGCCTCTCTCGGCCGCTCCGTCCGCCTCCGCGAGCGGTCCGGTACGAGGGGCTGCGCGGTTCATGTCGGGGCCGGGAACCCCGCGCGCTCCCGGCGACATGGGGACCCCGCGCGCTCTGCTCCAAGCACCCCGCGCGCTACGCTCGCATCCCGAGACGCGTGGAAGGGGGGGGGGGTCACAGGGCCTGAGAGGGTGCAGGGCGGGTGGGGGGCGGCTTTATTGGGACCCCCGTGAGAGGGAGGACTGTGGCGAGTGCGCGGCAGTCCGGGCAGTGGCCGCGGCGCCTTCATTGTTTGGTCATCTCGGGCTCGCGCCCCGCGCGTCTCGTGGAGCCGGGGACCCCACGCTGCGCCGCGCGCCTCTCCGCTGCGGCGCGCGGCTCAAGGGGTAGGGGGCGGGCACGAGGGGTCGTGGAGCGGGGTGTGGGCCCCCCCTATCCAATGGTCTGGGTCCCGTGAGCCCCCCACGAGCCCCCCGTGTCCCCCCGTTGGTCTCCGCGATGCGGCTCCGCGGGCTGCCAGAGCGCGGCCTGGGCTCCCGGCGCGCCTCGCCTCGCCTAGAACACCGCTCCCCGCGCGAGGGAGACGCCACGTAGCCGCGCCCCGGGGTTCCACGGTCTCGGGACCCCGGCAGCGCGGACCCTGCGTCTGCGGCTCCTCGGGAGGCGCGCGCCATGGACCCCGGCGCGAACCCCGGCGCGGGGAGACGCGAGAGGAAGACGGTGGAAACGGCGCCTGTAACCAGCGCGGCGCCGCCATGTTTGCGGGTGAGAGGTGAAAGGGCGGCGGTGACGTCACCGTCCCAGCTCAGCTGGGTCACGGTGGGGGCCGCGGGGGATGGGATGGGTGCGTGAAGGGGACCCACATGGCACCTTGGAGAGGGGGCCCCCGGTCAGAGGAGTGCCACGGGACCCCGTTTCCAAATGCAATTCTCCGCGCTGCTAAAACTGTGTTCAGTCGCGAGCGGTGTGCTCACGGTTGCGATGAAGCGCGGATGTTTTATTTCCATGGCCTTTACAAGAGTTCATTAACGCAGTGGCGTTGTGTTAATTGGCTCGCGAGTCTGGCGCGCCTTGTGTGTGGTTGTAGTGGGGGTGGTGGTGGTTTGAGGGCTGCGTGTTGTCACCCCCCCCCCCCTCGTGCGTTTAAAACAACGGGAGTTTACCCCCCCCCCCCCCTCCTACTGGGGTTTATTTACCCAGGGCATTTAACACCCAGGGCATTTAACACCAAAGGCATTTAACCAGAGATATTTAACACCCAGGGAATTTTACGCATGGTATTTAACCCAGGGCATTTGACCCATGGCATTTATCCCAGGGAATTTAACCCAGTGCATTTAACCCAGGGAATTGAACCCAGGGAATTTAACCCATGGCATTTTACCCAGGGCATTTTACCCAGGGTATTTATCCCAGGGAATTGAACCCAGGGCATTTAACCCAGGGAATTGAACCCAGGGAATTGAACCCAGGGCATTTAACCCAGGACATTCATCCCAGGGAATTTAATCCATGGCATTTAACCCAGGGCATTTAACGCATGGCATTTAACCCAGGGCATTTATCCCAGGGAATTTAACCCAATGTATTTAACCCAGGGCATTTAACCCAGGACATTTAACCCAGGGCATTTATCCCAGGGCATTTAACCCAGGGCATTTAACCCAGGGCATTTATCCCAGTGAATTTAACCCAGGGAATTTAACCCAATGTATTTAACCCAGGGCATTTAACCCAGGGCATTTATCCCAGGGCATTTATCCCAGGACATTTAACCCAGGGCATTTATCCCAGTGAATTTAACCCAGGGAATTTAACCCAATGTATTTAACCCAGGGCATTTCACCGGTGGTATTTAAACCATGACATTTTACCAGATATATTTAACCCAGGGTATTTGATGCATGGCATTTAACCCAGGGTATGTAACCAGGGATATTTAACACACGAATTTACCTCGGAGCATTTCACCCAGAGTATTTAATCTGGAACATTAATGTGGAATCTAACAAATGTTATCATTTATCTCAGGGCATTTAGCCAAGGGTATTTAAGAAAGGCATCTAACTCAGGGTCTTTAACTCAGGCGGGGGGGGGGGGGGGGGGGGGGGGGCTGACGCAGTGGCTAGCGCACTGGGCTATGACCCAGGTGAGTTTGATTCCCGGCCACGGCTAACATCAGTGGCGAGCAATAGCCGACCCACTCTTCAAGCCCACTTCGTCCACATTCACTCACCAGCGAGGTTGAGTTATGGGCAAACAATCCACACGTGGGAAGGTCCTCATCCACCAGTGGGATTGACATTATGGGCTGTACATTATTATCGTTAGTATTCATTAAATCGTGAAAATGTTACGAAACTCTCGGTGTAACACCCTCACACGGCTCCTCAAAGGTGAGCACAATTATTATAATCGGCGGTGGGTCTGGGGCCCCTGCGCGCATCCTCTGGAGCGCCCCCTCCCGGCCGCCCCCTCCCCTTGGGTCCCTGCGATGACGGACGGCGCTTCGGTAACCCAGCAATCGTAATTCAACTGACCCCATCAACCGATCGGCTAACCAATCAAATCACGCGTATCTAACCAGTCAAACAAGTGAGATAACACAGTGGGCCATTCGACCGACCCATCACACAGCCGTGTACCAACAGTCTGTGTGAACAATCCCACCAGCCTTGCAAACCAACCCAATTAACCCTGCCAACAGCAACCAAATCAGTTGACCCGTCATCCCGTCAACCAAATCAGTTGACCCGTCATCCCGTCAACCAAATCAGTTGACCCGTCATCCCGTCAACCAAATCAGTCGACCCGTCATCCCGTCAACCAAATCAGTTGACCCGTCATCCCGTCAACCAAACCAGCCATACATTCGATGGCTATTCGGCGCTGGTAACTTCTGCCGAAACGTCTGCGCCGTGCCACGATGACGTCGCGGGGCTGTCCGTACCCCGGCTTGCGTCCGGGATGCGTTTGCGTTCCTCAAAGGCGCGATGACGAACATGGAAACGACGCCGACCGAAGCCATTTACCATGGGAAGAAGGTGGAGGCGAAGGCTTTTGAGATGCGATGGATACGAGAAGGGGCCGATGATTGCTGTCGACGACGTAAGTGTTGGCGGGGGCGGGGTGAGGCTACGAAAATCGGATAACGGCGCTAATAAATTGACGATGTATTTGTGAAACGACGTAAATGTGGGGGAGACGTGAATGGGGATATTACTGTTTTCGCCATCCTCCCAGGAGCAGCATCATCTGGTATAACGCTCCCAGGAGGTGCTCACCCAGACTGAACCGTCGTTTCCGAGCTGAGTGGCCTCTGCGTCAGAGCCAGGAGGAGCGAGCTAGGCCAGCGGGACACGTGGTCCCCGGGGAAGGGGGGATGGGTCCCCTAGGGCCCCAGTCTGATCCAGACGCGCGTGATAGGATCCTATCCCTCTATGTCTTCTACCCCGAACCCTTTCATTACTGTAATTGGCCACACCTGGAGTGGGCGACCCGCGCCGCTCGCTCTCCTGGGTACCCTGCGCTGTGGCGGGGGAGGGCGTGGGGGGGGGGGGAGAGAATAACGGGATCGGTGAGAGAGGTGAGTGGAAGAAGAGGGGGGAGCGGAGAGAGGAATTGGCGAGAGCGATGAGAGCAGAGAGCGCGGTCAGCCGAGAGACGGGAGAGTCGGGGGATCAGGGGAAATGGGCGTGGGGAGAGTCTAAGGGGGTCAAGGAGAGGGGGGGGGCAGCGAAAGGTGTGCGGGAGAGGGGATCAGGGAGAGCGAAGTGAGAGAGATTGATTGGGGTGATTGGGGACGCAGGGAGACGGGGGGGGGGGGTGCAGGGTTCAGAGAGGGGGGCTGAGGGGGGGGGGGGTACAGAGGGAGGGAGAGGGGGATCAGGGAGGGGTCGTCTCGCCAGCGCGAGGCGCGCGCGCCTCGTGTGTACAAACAGCGCGCGCGTCGCGAGCACAAACACGCGCTCATTAACGCGCGCGCAGCTAATTACCCCCCGCGACGCGAGACCCCCCCCCCCCGGGCCCAACCTCGCAGCTCGGGGGTGAGGGTCGCGACCAGCGGCTGGGCCCCGTCTGATCCCGCTGGGGGTTTGGGGGGGGGGACCTCCTCCGCCTACAGGACCCCTGTAATCACCTGTTCGCGCGGGGTCACCAGGTCAAGGGGGCGGGTCCCCGGGGGAGCGAGGATTTTGGGATCCAGGGCCCCTCCCCTCTTAGCCCCCCCTCCCTGCACTCCCCGCTTCTCATCGTCAACTTTGTCCTCGCGTCTTCCTCCGCCTCTATCACCTCTCTACTCTGCCACGTCCTCTTTCTCCTTTACAGCTCCCCTCTTCTCTCCTACTTCGCTGTTCCTCCTACACCTCCTCCTCCTCCTACACCACCTCCTCCTACACCACCTCCTCCTACACCACCTCCTCCTCCTACACCACCTCCTCCTACACCACCTCCTCCTACACCACCTCCTCCTACACCACCTCCTCCTACACCCTCCTCCTACACCTCCTCCTACACCTCCTCCTACACCTCCTCCTCCTCCTACACCACCTCCTCCTACACCACCTCCTCCTACACCACCTCCTCCTACACCACCTCCTCCTACACCTCCTCCTACACCACCTCCTACACCACCTCTTACATCACCCCCTCCTACACCACCTCCTCCTACACCTCCTCCTACACCACCTCCTCCTACACCTCCTCCTACTACACCACCTCCTCCTACACCTCCTCCTACACCACCTCCTCCTCCTACACCTCCTCCTACACCTCCTCCTACACCACCTCCTCCTACACCACCTCCTCCTACACCACCTCCTCCTCCTACACCACCTCCTCCTACACCACCACCTCCTCCTCCCAGGTGAGGGTTGACACCTGCAGGAGGACCTACACCTACAGGTCGTAACCTCACCGTGCGCAGGTGACCACGACCCCCCACCCCCTGACCCCATAGCCCCCACCAAAGCAGAGAAAAGTGAGGGGGGTGGTGGGGGAAGGGGGCGGGGGGTGGGGGCCCTACCCCGCTGTCCGCGGCGCGCACCCGGGTCCCTGTGCCCCGGCATATGGCGGGGGTCGCTGCGGGGGTCTCATTTAG